AATTAGCTTACATGGGGTAATGATGGTTGTGAAAGAATTGATGATGTAACTATCCTAGCATTTTCTATTATTAAACCTTCAATTCTCCCTTTAGCACCCTGCATTGGACCAAATTATATGTTTTAGTTTTATTATGTGAATCAATTGATTGAGCTTATTTTACAATCCTCCTTTGACACAAACATGGACATGCTTGTAATTAAAACACAAAAAATAAAAAGGTGATTAAATAAAGTGACAAACATGAAAAAGAAATAGGTGAAAGGCATAGATCAGTGAGATTGCATGTACCTTTGTCATCTCATTCATGACAGTACCAACAATTGGATTGGTTTTAATGCCTTTTTCAATAACTGGTTCTCGTTGGTTGACCTTGGTTTTTCCAAGAACAAAATAAACAAAATAGTTAGAAGAAATAATCAAAAACCTTATCTCATATAGTTATATAATCACATAAGTGAGATTGTAAGTTCTAAGGAGATGCATAGGGAAATGCTTTAGGCAAAGAAGTTATTAAGGAGCTCTGAAGTGATCTTTTTATGTGCTAAATGAATTGATCATGCAACTATAATAACATTATGTTGTTGAACCTTCTAGTTATCTACATTACCACTATTTTCAATTATATTTATCATTCAAAATCAATTCACTGAACAACTTGTGGCATCTCATATCAGAGAAAACTTATTTATTTTATTCATAGATGCAGGTTCCATATATACAGATTACAAGATAAAATCTATACAGGAAATACAATCAAATAAAATATTAACTCCCATGATCCCATCTAATCATATCCCTATATTTAAGGAATAAATTTCTCTAATAAAATACATTAAATATTAATTTGACTATTCTCACACACCCTTTAACATTTTTGTAGCTCTCTGTTTTGTAGATGAAAGTGAAAGTTAGTAGTAATTTATGGTATACCATAAACAGATGAGCTGAATAAAGCATTACTTTAAAGAATATATGAATATACCTGTGGAACTTCTTTAGCATGTGAGCTTTGGAGTGATCTTGTTGGGTCCAAATGAGATTTTGATGCAAAACTCTCTTCAACACTCTGAAAGAAATTTAACTTTATTAAGTCATACATGTAGTAGGAATTGAATCTTGAATCTACTGGCAGAGATGGTGTTACATTTTTCTTTGGTATGTTTGTCTCATGATCACCAGTTTGATCTTTGGACTCTTTAATATTCTGTATAAAAGGGGAAATTAAATAAGTTACTGTCTTTGGCATCATCATGTGGAAATGCCTTAGGCAGAGAACCATAGAGTGACTTTGTTGGTTTTGAATTAGTCAATGAGGTAATTATACCTTGGCATTATCTGGTGTAGAACCTTCATACCTTTCAACACCCTGCATAGCAAGAAAAATATGTAAATCACATGAGCTTTACACTTTTTTTATTTTCCTTTCAAGAATTTCTTTCTTGGAAACTTTGATTTTCGTATATATGACACTATATCAAAGTGAAAAAGGATAATACAAAGTGATCTATGACACTATATATCTAAATAACATGAGCTACCCAAAACAATACTTTTATTTTAAGAGGAATTTCATTATTTGTGATAAGCAATATCAGTTTTTACAAGTGATTGTTACATGTCGTCATGCAAATCTTGAGTAATTAGCTAATATTCCATTCACCATCTCATTATAAAAAATTAATTAATTGATATATAGATAGAATCGAAAAGGATTTTGTTAAGAATATATGCATTCATTAGCAGCCGATCATATATGGAATTGAATTTAGGATTTGTTAAAGAAGTTGACGATGTTGTAAAGGTAAAAGTATAAGGTCTAAAACCATAGGTTGACCAATACCTGTGGAAGTGGTTTGGGTGGAGAAACTAATGAGCCTTGGAGTGAGGTTGTTGGGTCTAGATAAGTTTCTTGTGCAACTACTGTAGCATTTTTGGGTGCAGAACTTTCTTCCACAATACCTTCAATTCTCTGTACAACGACAAAAGATGTGAAACTTTGTATTCATATATATAAAGTAATTGAATTTATTGGCAGAGCTATTATTACCTTTTTCTCTGCCATGCTAGTGCCATCATTAGAACTCTGTTCTTTAAACTCTTCAACACTCTATAGGAAATAGAAAATTAATTAAGAGTTGTTTATAGCATCGTGTGTTAAGCTTTATTTGAATATAAAGTAACTGAACCATTAGTAGAGCTGCCATTTCCTTTTGTTCTGCCAAGTTTGAGTCATTATCAGAACTTTTTTTTTTAGACTCTTCAACGCTCTAGAGGAAAGAGAAAATTAATAAGGTGTTGTTTATAGCTGTAAGTGCTAAACTTTACTTGAGTGAAAAGCAATTGAAACAGAGTTGCTATTACCTTTTGCTCTATTATATCATCATCAGCACTACATTGTTCTTTAGGCTCTTCAACACTTTGTAGGAAAGAGAAAATTAATAAGGTGTTGTTTTTAGATAAAGCATCAAGTAATTAAGATTCACTTGAGTTCCCTAGAGAGTTACATTAGCTATAAATTCTCTATACTGTATACACACAGATATACCTGTGTCAAGTTTGGTGACGCAACAGGGGTCAATTCTTGCTCACTGTCCTCAACATCCATTCACATTGTTCTCAACAACTCCATATACTGTCCCCAATTTGAACCTTCGTAATCTATATGATTTATAAAGACATATTATATTAATTAGCAATCGTATCAACAGCAATTCCTCCCAAACACACACACATTATTAATTATGTAGTTTAAGTATTGAAATAATAAAAAATACAACTTAACACACGTTTCTCAAATAAAATTTTTGTGGACTGAGATCACATAGTTCAACTATTTTCATGTGGCTATCATCAAAACAAATTTATTTTTATTGATAATTAATGTTTGATGTGCTTTAATAATGAAAATATATTCATACAAGCTATGATAATTAATTAGTAGTTACTGGTAATTACAAAACCTGAATTACATGCTCTAACAATTGAGACTTCAATTTTAGAAATTAGGACAAAAAACCATACACAACAAAGTGATGAGATAATACAAGAACTTTTATATGTGGTCAAGTTGCAACTAGTAAAAGTGATATGCTGTTTCCATATGCTATTTTTTGGAATTTTTTTTCACTACGTGCGTCCTTACTGCATGATAAATGATATACAAAATATATTTTATTTCAAATAATTTTTCTTCTAAAAATTTTAGAACTTGAATTAAAAAAATTATCATGTCCATAATCCATAGTAAAAGATACAGATATAGATCCCAACTTGTTGATACCAAAAATTTCTTTTTTAAAAAAAATCATGATAATTGTATTAAAAAAACATTTCTTGTATTCAAGCACAAGTGAAAAAAGAAAAATATAAAAACTGGATCCAGAGAGAAGTGTTTTCCCTCAGCATCTCAATCTCAACCCTTCAATAAATATCCAATGTTCCATATTTTGACACATCATCCCACTTAGAAATAATTTTATTTTAAAAAAACAATTCCTTTATTAAATTGATTTCTATTTAATTTTCTATTTTCAAAACTTATTCTAAAAAATTATCCTGTAAATTTTTACAAAGTGACTTGTTTAATAAAAATCTATTTAAAAAAATCTACAAAATAAGTCAGACTATAAGCAAGTACAATGTAACTTATTCAAACTCTGACATGATTTATTTAATGAAAATCTGTTTAAAAAAATTTGAAAAGTAAGTTAGGATATAAGCAAGTATTTATCATCTATCTTATTCAAATTATGGCATAATCTATTTAATAAAAAATTACTTTAAAAAAGCTAACGAGAAACTTTTTAGAACAACTTGAAAGAATTATTTTTAAAATAAAATTATTTTTACATGGGCTAATATGAAAAAGTATGAGACATTGGATATTTATTAAAGGGCTGAGATTGAGACATTGAGGGACGTTGAGGGAAAATGCTTCTAAGAGAATCTGGATCCATAAAAACTAAGCTAACTATTATATAAAGGACAAAAAAAAAATCACTAAACTAACAACCCTATATTTCTTTACCATGGGTCTTGGAATACTCCTCATTTATGTTTATCATAAATCGCCAAATCCTTTGTCTCATATTAGTTTTTTTTAATAAAATGACCAAGATATATTTTTGAAATTAGAAAAATACATATATAAATTTAAAATATAATTAAATATATATACTTTTCTTATATATGTGTGTGTATATGTACATATCATTGAAACACATTAAGATAAAAACTTGATATTGATGATGGAATGGAGGCAATAATCATAATGATAAGAAATATATATATATATATATATATAACTGTCACACAAGCACAAATAATACTGAGTACTTGGATCATTTTCTAATATTTGCAGTAAATCCAGAGGAGCTATGGTGGGAGTAAAAGCATTAGAGACTTGGGAACACTGATCTACAACAAGGTATTTCACTCTTTGGAGATTATGAATGTCAAGGTTGTGTGCGGTGAGTTTTGGCAGTTGAAAAAGTATTGCAACCTTCAAGTTGGGAATGAGAGTTTCTTTTATAGGCATTGTCTTTGCTTCTTCATCTCCCAGTACTCTCTCTAGCTCTGATGCTTTTGCTATCAACATTCCCCTTAGTTTGGGAAGCATACCACATGCTACGATAGGGAATCCACATTTCAATTTATGATAATCTTGGATGAAGATTTTGGTGAGACTTGGGAAGATAGCAAGCTGTCGAGGGTTTAATACATTTTGATTTTCTTTGAGGATTGCCTCCAATTCCTTACAGGAATATATGCTAATGTCTTCCAAATGTGGGAGCACATGACATGTAGAGACAGGGAATACACATTTCAACTTATCACAATTTTCAATTTTAATTGTGGTGAGATTTGGAAAGACAACAGGTTGGTGGGAATTTAGCACATTTTGATTTTCTTCTTCTTCATCATGTCCAATTATTTCTTCCAATTCCTTACATCCCCGAATATGAAGAATTCTCAATTGTGGCAGGCTTCTTGAGATGGATGCAGGGAATATAATTCTCAAATTGTCACAATTCCAAATACATAAATAATCAAGATGTTGAAGGAGTAAGAAATTTTTGGGACCCCTCCATATATCCCTCAACTCTGGTAGATCCCCCAATTCAAGCTATTGTAAGCTTGAGTTCACTTGTTGTACATTGTTAGGAATCTCATCCGCATCGAAAATAACTTTTACTTCAGTATCAAGCACATAAAGTAATTGTAATGTTTGTAGTGAGGACACAGCTAACTTCAACAGTTCCTACAAATACAAAAGAATATGAACCCATAAGCTATATAATAATGTTGAACAACAATCAGCATAATTAATTATATATGCTCCACAACTATATAAAAGCAAGAAAGTACATAAGTATGCCATGTTGTCCTCTCTGCCACGTGTACTTTACCAATCACCCTCTTCTTCATTTCTGATTGTGGGTACTTTGAAATCTAATTAACATCAACATCCATAAATTAAATTCATTTCATTTAAGAGTCCAAATGGAAACTTTAATTAGAAATTAATATGTTCTCCTTTATTACACGCACTATTGATGTTCTAATAGATTAAACATAGAGGACATGAATTTTTCTTCATTAAACTGCAGCAAACATTAAATTATATTCATAAACCAACAGATGTTGAACCATTTTTGAATATTTGAAATAATCATGTATAATTAAAAAAATAATACAATAAAATAAAATGAACAATATTATATTAGAAGACATCTTAACTCTGATGCTATTTGATCATGCATTTGACTTAATCCGTATCCAACAATCCAATGATTCATGGACATAGAATTTAATTGATGGCAATTATTCAACCATATATATGTCAAAGATGGGCATGTTGATTGATAATTTTTTGGACAAATGCTAATGATACTTGACAAGGCTCGTAGAGTTAGGTTTCTCAAAGACGAAAAATGGATGATTTGGAATTCATTTGGATTTGGATCTTCATAAATGGATGGGCCAAACACACTCTTCAGTTTAGGAGCATTACTTATTTTTAAATGTTCCAATTTTGTAAGGCTTTGAGCACAAGAGACGGGCATTAACTATTCTAGTTGAGGGCACCCATTTATGGTTAGTCTTTTCAAATTTGGGAATGCAGATCTATAGCTCCTTTAATGTCTACTATCATATGCAACTATCTCCTCCCCTTCTTCTGCTATTGTATGCTTAAGTGAATCACAACTTTCTATCTCTAGTACCTCTAATTTTGCAAAAAGGCTTAAAGGAAGCTGAACATGGCACAAGGACTTCAAATGCTTCATCATTTTTATAGTTAGATGAGTCAATTTGGAGATAACTCCAACTTCACGCAAATGATTTGCAGGGTGTATCATGTACTCTATCTCCTCTGAGAAAAGGACTGAAAGTTTAGCCAAAGCATCCATATCCCCTCCTATTCCCCTCCTATTGTTTGAAACACATCAGGGAATATATATTTACAACTTGTGATTCTCCCTATGGAAAGAACCTCTACTCTTTGCATCATATCCTTAATTGTTTCATTTGATATGCAAGTTTCAAAATCATTAACATGTAAACTTCTTGTAATAGGAAACTCTTGTTGATTAAAAGTATTGCTTCCAAAATCTATGCAATAAATATCTAATATTGGTGAAAATTTATTAATGAAATCACCAATATTCTTACCTTGGTCTAGCCAAACTCCTTTATTTTCACAAAAATACAATACTTCCAATTGGGAGCACGTTCCTATCACTTCATAAGGATTCTTTTGAATTTTACATCTCCAAGTATCGAATAATCTCATATTCTCCTGTTCTACAATGCATTTGGGCAATTCATTGAAAGCACAATTCCATAATGTAAGAGACTCGAGTCTATTGAGGCTTTCAATGAAAGAGATGTCTTCTAACAACCAATTGTCCAAGAATAGGCAACCAAGATTATTTATCAAATAGATTGACTTTGAGAATTGTAGGATTTTTGTTTTTTTACTCCATGAGAGTATTTTACATTCAAGAACCAAAACTTGAAGCTTCTCCATATGTTTGACAAAAACATTTGTTAGATCAATATCATAGTTTTCTTTTATGCGTATACAAAGAAGCTCGAGTTTAGGGCAATCCAACTTTTGAGAAAATGACTCCGTATCATTAAGCCATAAATATCTTACAATATCATCCTTCAATGCTTTTTGCCTTTTGTTTTTCCTAATAATCAATCTAACCTCCTTCTTTGAAATCCATAGGGCTACATCACGAACCAAATCATGCATTTTGACATGACTATTTCCATCATCAACTTTTACCAACAAACAAGAATCTATAAGCCTAGTTTTGACCCTAATGGTCAGATTTCTTACCCTTTGATAAGAGTCAACTTCTTCCAATACAAGACCAAGCCCTACTCCAAACACGATTAATTTCTCAATTGGAATTTCATAATTTTCAGGGAATACAGAGCACAACAAGAAGATTGACTTGGCTATTTCATCTTCTATATTTTCATAACTTAACCGAAGACATGAGTAAGGATTTCTTAATCCTTTTTCAATATCCACTAGGCTTGAATCTTTTAGTGTTCTCAATGCTTCCTCCCACTCATTTGGAGATTTTCCTTTCAAAGTGCTAGCTACAGCAGCAATAACAACAGGTAAACCACCACATTCTTTTGTAATTTCTTGTGCCAATGATCTCTTCAAGGGACTAGTAGTATCATCATCAAATGTCCTTGAATACTTCTGAAAGAGCTCCCATACGTCAGCCTCATTTAAATCCTTTAACTGAATTGTTTTTTTACAATCCATTAATCTGCATACTTGAAGTTTTCGTGTAGTTATAAGCACAATGCATTGACCTTTTTTATTTTCTACAAGTGGAATCCCAATGGCCTCAAAATCAAGCTTCTCCCATACATTATCTAGAATAATCAAGAACCTTTCCCCAGTTCCCAATCTCATGGATAATCGTTTGGCCCTCTTTGGTTCTTCTTGCTCTTTCAATTCAAAATTATCAAGTTGGCTTGCTATATTTTCTTGAATTTTTTTTACTTCAATGGTATTAGACACAACAACAAAGATAACTTTTTTGAAAAACTATTCTGCTTCTTTACCTTCTTCTTTCACCAAGGTAGTTTTCCCATATCCACCTATGCCATACAATCCAATCATACTAACCTAGTTATCCTTCAATGCTTTTATAAGTTCATCATAAGCCACCTGCCTACTCTCAAAGCATATGAAACCTTCAGATGAAAAGTAGTTCATGCCCACAAGTGTGGCAAGTCGAGAAAACTCGGGGAATTCAATTTTGTAATGCTCTATAATTTCATTGATCTTTTCTTCAAGCTGCTTTGCTATACAATAATGCCTAATCAAGTTAGGGCAGTGCTTAAAACAAGATGTCTTATTTTTTGTTCACTATTTTTTCTTGCAGCTCCGACACTTTTGCCATTAGAGAGTCAGCTTCGTATAACCATTTCTCAACATCACTAACAACCTTCTCTGTTTTCTCCTTCGCATGTTTAGCATGATCAAGAGCACGTCCTATTTTGGATTGCAAATTTTGGTTTTTTGTTTCAAGCTCTTTAACAAACTTGTTGAAGCGGAAAGAATAAGAAGCTTCATGTATTGCTACATGCACTGAATTGATCAAAATCTCGGTTACAAAAGAGATAGCAATGTCCATTTCTCTCTGAAAGCTGAATGAAGCCCACAGTATATGAGATAATCATAATTTTAAAAGTCCATGAGAATAAATGTTTGGTGTTTGACTTAATTAGACATGTTGAATTGTATAGAGAAAATTTTGTTGCTAGTCATGACATGTGTTTTCAATAAAAAAATGTCAAACTCCTCTCTTGATTATAAGAGAACTAATTATCTTTAGTGAGTATCGGTACAACTTTCTTGTACAATAGAAAACCTTTTGCTTTCTAAAGTCACATTGAAAACATTATTTCTTAATTTAAAAGCGTAAATGTTTTAAAAGGCATCAATAGTTTATCCACATAATTTGGACAAAGAATTTCAATTGTACGTTAAGATCTCTAGCTAACAGTCAGGAATTATTGAGTCTTCAAATTTTTTAAAGAATTACATAAAGACTTATAATTTTAATTTATATCAAAAGAGAAAATGTAAAAAAAAGGCACAAAAACTTTAATAATATATTTCAAAACATCAAAATCAAACATATAATAACAATTGTTGATATAACGAAGATAGTATTCTCCAATCATGTTGCAATACATGTATGAGTATTAGGTATAAGAAGATATATACAACAAATTTCAAAATTTTAAGATATAGATACAAAGATATACTTGTATAATCAGGTATATGAAATTAGCATAACAATTAATTAAATAAATAAAAACTAACTTTTGCACATGGAGAAACAAATTAGAACTAATGACATACGTTATAAAATTAGAAAGTTGTATTATGAAATATAATACGTACAAAATATCATATGGTACATTATGAAAAATATTTTTTTTTTTGGAAAGTGCCTATGCAACATAGGTATTCTCACATTCACTATAAAAAATAATATGCTATTTGAAATCTATATTTAATCAATTTAATAATATTGTAAATGATACATTTCCATGTTTACCATATATTTAAATAATAATATTCTATATTTAACCTATATTGATTTATTCAATATAAATGTTATCTTTTTATATTTATCCTTACTTGATAGGGTGTTTCATTTTAAAAAAAAATAAAATAATTTATTTATTAAGGACATTTTTGAAAAAAATATTAATTGCAACTTGAAACATATACTAAAAATGTGTTACATTTTTTAACATTTAACTCTTCAAAGGGAGGGAGTAATAATTATTTCCTAGAATATTTTATTCAAGGAGATAAGTTTTAAATATATATGTATATATACATTGATTGATAATGGCAAATATGAAAATTTTATTATGAAATAAATAGAAGAAAGTTTAAATATCTCGTATACATATAAATTTTAGTTGGAAATCACTAGAAGAGACGTATCGATAACTCATCTTTCAACAATTTTCTATAATAAAATTGTTATTAAGTTAATCTTTTGAGTTTTGAGACTTAAGTGCATTCTTACATCATTAAAAAAAATCCTATACAACAACATTTAGTCAACTAACATATCTATATATAGAGCCTCCTTAGATATTATAACCTTAAGCCAAAATTACTAATTATAGGGTGAAAAAAAAATGAAAAATAAGAAAATATCAATCAAATTAAGAATTCACCAACATTAAGTACTATTGATCATTAAATGAATTATGAAAAAATAATAAAAAAATATAAAAGTAATGTTGACCCTCTGCCATCTATATGTATATATATATTTCAAATCCTTTAGAGTTTAAAATGTGCCAAATGTCAGGTGAAAAAGTTCTTTTGATTGTTCAAAATTATATATGTAATTATATAAGAATGACTGTAAACACAAAAAAAATAAAAAAATAAAAAAGAATGACTATGAAACACTATTGAAACAAGAAACATGGATAAAAGCACAAATATCCAACAAAAAGTTGATTAAAAGAAAAAAGCATGTATACTAAATCACTACTAGAAAAATGGAATTTAGTGAGGGACGAATCCCTCACTAAATGTCATTTTTCGTAGTTAAATTGTATTTTAGTTAGGAATTTTGTCCCTCACTAAATTCATAGCTAAAAAAGGGCTCGCTAAATTTAGTAAGGAATTGTATTTCCCTCACTAATTAGTGAGAGATTTAGTGAGAGATTTAATCCCTTGCTAAAATTAGTTAGGGACTAAATCCCTCGCTAATTCCTCTCTAATACTATTTAAAATTTAATAACTTTAGCGAGGAATTAGTCTCTCACTAATCCCTCGCTAAATATGCTTATATTTAAAAATAACTATACCACATCACCCGCCATGTGTGATGTCAACTAGTGACATGTCATCAACAATCTCATGCTTTTGTCAACCACCATGTCACCTACCATCTCGCGCCCTATCACCCACCACATGTGCGACAACTCATGACACGTCATTGTCCACCTTGCGTCATGTCACTTGCTCCTTATCATATTATATATTCATCATATTTATGTCAAAGCCAAGGTTTGAACCCTTGACCTCATACCTTCCAAGCTTTATGCTTTTCTTCTTTGTCAGTTGAACTGAAAAGCACTTGCAATCATTATATGAGAAACTAAATATGTATATATATTATTTAACTATATAAATAAATCAAATAATATATTATAAAAATATACACATATACATATTAAATTTTATTTTCAATTATTAATATGTTAAAAATATTTATATTTTATTAAAATTATTCGTTATATTATATTTTTAATAAAATATTATTTTATTAATGAAAATCAATTTAAAATAAATAAAAAATTAAATAATTTTATTATGAATATTTTAATTAATTTTTAAATTTAATTATTATTTTTAAATGAAAATAATTAAATGTATAATTAAAAGTCATTGTCAAAAGTTAATTTTTTTTGTAGTAATTAGCTAGGGATAAAATTCCTCACTAAATCTCTCGCTAATTATCTTATTTTAGAGAGGGATTGGCAATTTCTCACTATTTTTCTCGTTAATTCTCTTATTTTAGAGAGAGATTGACAGTCCTTCGCTATTTTCCTCTCTAATTCTCTTATTTTAGAAAGGGATTGATAGTCTCTCACTATTTGCCTCGCTAATTCTCTTATTTTAGAGAGGAATTGATAGTCCCTTACTAATTTCCTCGCTAATTTTAAATCAAGCTACGAAATCAATATCCCTCACTAATTTCCTCGCTAATTTAGTATTTTAGAGAGGAATAGATGATCCCTCGCTAAATTTCCTCGCTAATTATATTTTTCTAATAGTGAATAAAAGTAATTATAGGTTGAAGTATAGGACTAGGACTAAAAGATTAAAAGCTAACCTGGCTTGAGCTTCCTTTTGATCCAAAGTAAGTGATCTATTATCATGCAACAATAAATAAAAAGAAGGCCAATTTTCGTAATTTCTTGAAATTTAAAAAAATTAAAATTCTTGATTTCATTATTTCAATCCTATATATTAATTTTAAAACAAATAGTCGTGCTCATCTACACTAAGTCTTCGATCAACATGCTTACATTTCAAACTAAGTATTATGATTTGTCTATTATGCTTCCACATATAGATTTAGAAATATATAATAATTAATAAGGATAAAGAAACTTCAAATTCTTTCAAATTTACTTCAATGATCAATTTGGTCTTTAAAATTTAATTTTCATCAATTAATTTCCTAAACTTTTATAATCATACACAACTAGTCCATATGGTTTGAAGAGGATACCACCATTAAAAAAATGTGTGTGTATGGTTATAAAATTTTACAGACTTGATTGATAAATATGACAAAGTTAAAAGAATAAATTTCGTTATCTTTAATTCCAAATTAATATGTTAAACTTCAGTAACAATTCAAAAGCCACTAATACTATATTGCCACTTGAAAATGCAATTCTTTCTCTTTTTGTCCCCATTATATGTCATTTCTTGATCATAATAAGTAGTGTGGATATTCAACAAAAGCCGCATTATTTATGGCTCTCCTTATAATTATAGACCTAGTAATTTGGGAGGATCTAGCTTATTCAAGTTGGGCTTAAAATACTTGAATTATTAAATATTATATTTTTTTATTTTTTCAAGCCAATGTTAATTTTTATCTAAATTAAACAACACAAAAATACAAGGACCTTTTTTTCTCGGGTTGTTCATAGGATGGGATGGCACTGGGACACCCTTTGCCCATGTCCTGTCTTAAAAATTATCAGGCCTGAATTTTTATCCCATGTTTCATCCCATCCTGAAAATCGAGACAAAATCGAGATGGTTGGAAAGCAAACAATGTGAGAGAAAAGTCTAGATAATAACATTCACTAATTAAAATTTTAGATCACATAAGTTATTGATTTTAAAACCAAAGCAACAAAAGTACATAAATCACAACAATGATTGAATTACATAAATCACAACCATAAATGTATAACTTAAAGTCAAGTATACATGAGATATAACACATTATAATAGTAATTTTAAGTGATATCTAGGCTATAAGAGCAACAACAATAGACAAGCCTGACATAACATCAAGTTATCATTCTTTTTCTTTAGTTGAAATATGTTTAGTTAGTGACTCTTATAACATCCCAATTTTTAATCCTTGGACTATTAAGGAATTAGTTAAGTTTAATTATGGTGATTGGTGATTCATTGTAGTGTGTGACCAGAAAGGTCTAATAATTACATTCGAATATGTTTTCAGCCTAAATTATGGGTCCAAAGTGAAGTCAAGCTGCCCAAGCATCAGAAGAAAGAGAAAAAACAAAGGGATGGTCTCTATGCCACATGCAACAGCTTGCAATATGGTCACTATGGAGCACAGATGGCAAAAGGACACGAGGACCTCTTTATGCCATGCATCGTGACGCGTACTAGTTGTGCCACGGTGTGTGGCCAGATTTTCTGATAAGAAACTCACAAACAAGCTGAAAATTAGAAAGAGAAAAAGGGAGAGAATAAAGAGAAAGTGATAAAGCTCTATTAGAGTTCATCTTTGGAAGATATTTGGAACATTTTGAAGATATTAATCATTGGAGGTAAGCTCCCTAAGCCCTAATCTCCCCAAGTTCATATAAGTTATGGGCCCGAAATCATTGACTCAAATGGAGTTAATAGAAGTTGTTTATAGTATTTAAACCTAGTATTAATGGTTTTAAAGGTTGTTGGTTAGCAAATCCCATAAATATCTAAAAATGGCATTAATGAGAGTTGTTGGAGGAGTTGTAATGCAATTAATGGAGGTTTAATGACTCATTAATGACATTAGGAGCTAAAGAGAGTTAATAGACCAAATGAGTAAGTCTAGATGTAAGAAGTAAAGGCATTTAATATTTTAAAAGTGAAAATGTAATATTGGAAAATGTGTTTTTAACAATGTTCATGAGCTTAGAATTTATTAATTGTAGATTAAGTATTCGCGCACCATATTTAGCTTGAGAACTAAGCTTGGAAGCTAATTATTAAGGGGTAAACCTTTGACCTCTCAAAGGTTTAAGTTAATCGGGAGAACCCTATCTTGGGTAATTGTTTATTAATTGCATTGTAATGTAAAATTTGTTTATTGGCATGTACAATTGTGATTTGTGAATGTGTACACATGTTATGAAACACGAGATAGTACATTTGCTTGATTTGAACTAAAGATGTGAATGTGAATTTGAAATGAATTTCAAATTATAATGTGGTATTGGAATGAGTAATTGATGATTGGTATGATGGAGTTGAATTGTGATTAAGATATTGGGATAAAGACAATTGTGTATTGATGGAGAAATTGATGATTTGATAAAGTGAAAGATGTTTGTGAAAACAATATGGATACTGACTTAGGTAACATATTATCGTGAGCTCAATATGGTAATAATGAGTAAATGAAATTGTGAAATGAGTAAGCATTGTACATGGCATGATCAGCTGGCGAGAGTTCGCCTAGGGAGAGGAGTAGTTAAAATTCATATGGTATTTTCAAATACCTTCCAGTGCATTAGGGTATAGCCTTGTCCTATAGTTTGTTGAGAGACTGTCACATAGTTTGTCAAGGGACTAGAACCTAGCATTTCTACTAGTTTATTGAGGAGGTAAGTTCAAGGTATACAACACCTCAGAGATTTGAGAGTAGGGGAAACCATAGTCTAAGAGTGAGTCCTATAATCTTTGGTAAAGTCACACCTTACAATTGGTGAGCTTAAGTAATCCGGTCACACGAACAGAGCCCTATTTGATGTTAAAAGTGAAAATGTAATATTGGAAAATGTGTTTTTAACAATGTTCATGAGCTTAGAATTTATTAATTGTAGATTAAGTGTTCGCGCACCATATTTAGCTTGAGAACTAAGCTTGGAAGCTAATTATTAAGGGGTAAACCTTTGACCTCTCAAAGGTTTAAGTTAATCGGGAGAACCCTATCTTGGGTAATTGTTTATTAATTGCATTGTAATGTAAAATTTGTTTATTGGCATGTACAATTGTGATTTGTGAATGTGTACACATGTTATGAAACACGAGATAGTACATTTGCTTGATTTGAACTAAAGATGTGAATGTGAATTTGAAATGAATTTCAAATTATAATGTGGTATTGGAATGAGTAATTGATGATTGGTATGATGGAGTTGAATTGTGATTAAGATATTGGGATAAAGACAATTGTGTATTGATGGAGAAATTGATGATTTGATAAAGTGAAAGATGTTTGTGAAAACAATATGGATACTGACTTAGGTAACATATTATCGTGAGCTCAATATGGTAATAATGAGTAAATGAAATTGTGAAATGAGTAAGCATTGTACATGGCATGATCAGCTGGCGAGAGTTCGCCTAGGGAGAGGAGTAGTTAAAATTCATATGGTATTTTCAAATACCTTCCAGTGCATTAGGGTATAGCCTTGTCCTATAGTTTGTTGAGAGACTGTCACATAGTTTGTCAAGGGACTAGAACCTAGCATTTCTACTAGTTTATTGAGGAGGTAAGTTCAAGGTATACAACACCTCAGAGATTTGAGAGTAGGGGAAACCATAGTCTAAGAGTGAGTCCTATAATCTTTGGTAAAGTCACACCTTACAATTGGTGAGCTTAAGTAATCCGGTCACACGAACAGAGCCCTATTTGATGTTATTAGCCAACAATTTCAGTCAAGGAAAATAAGGAGGGTACAAGAGCAGTTTGATCATGCATATGTGTTTAAATGAGGTGTCACATTGTTGTTTAAGTTTGTGGCAAGTTTTGATCATAAATTAGGTCATTGTCACATGTTTGTGTGTCTTATGACAATGTGCCATGCGATTTGAGATGAAATTTATGTACATGAGTTAAATAAGGAATGACAATTTCGTGTTACATGTGATAGCACTAATGTTTTAGGACAAATCAACTTCAATTACGTGTGCTTGTTCAATTGATATACAACTGTATAGGGTAGGTGTACCTTGATTACTGAGTAGCTAGATTCACCTATCTTTTTCAATATTTTACAGGCTTGAACTCTGGTGCAAAAAGGGAAAAGCTACAAAGGCTTAGGAATATAGGGTTTCCACTGTAGAGCCTCTTAATCTTATTTATCTTTGTGTAATAATTGATATATTAACAATTAGGTTTATATTTTGTATACACTTACACTTTTGATGTTTATGATTTTTTTGGAATGTATTTTGAGCCTTGAGTTGTTGTTTGTATATTGATCATGTGTATTATAGGGCCAAAATACTAGTACAAGTGTAAGAATATTTATTTGATTACAATAGCGAATGTTGATATTGAAATGCAATGCTAAAACATCCCCCTTCTCTTTTTATTATTAAAAGGGTTGAGAAGTAAAAATTTGATATAGTGGTGCATATGTGCATGTGGTGTGTTGTACAGGTAGTCCTAGGTCTAATGAGTATGATTTAGGTGTTAAGTCTAATGTGGTGTGTAATATCCAGAATTTCTTAATCCTATGATTAGTTGTTAGTCAAGGGTAAAGTGGTAATTAGTGTGGGATTAGAGATTTGGATGATTACTTGGTAGTTTGACTCATTGGGATGTTGTATGAATAGATATGGATGAAAGGATTGTGTTTCAGGTCGAAATAAATACGTATGGTGAGAATTATTTTCACTATGCCACGCGCTGTGGTGCATGAACCAGAAAATAACTTCTTAAGTCATGAAATTTCATGAATTTTAAAAGGGAGAAAATTGAAACACACGAAAGGGAGAAGAGAAAAGTGAAGGGTGTGATAAGGTAATCTATTTTGGAACCGTGGAAGGTGCTTCTGATTAGTAACTTAGCAGGTAAGCTACGTATGACTCTTACCTTCCATTCTACCCAAATTTCTTTGAATATGAGTTATAGAGAAATTGAATTGGTGAAATTTTAATGGTTTGATTCTTTCTCAATAGTAATAAAAAGTTTCTCAAGAATTAAATTAGAGCTTTGTGATTGGTTTAGAGTTGAACGATAGAATTTTGAACCCACAGGCTCAATTTGGCCCTAATTCAATGAGATTTTAGGGTGAAAATCTTGTTTAACTAAGATTAGATCAGTTGAGGTAGTGTAAAGTAGTAATCGAGTAGTAACAAACCTAAAACAAATAAGTAAAAAAGAATAAACGGTTAAATATAGCTAGAAGTAGTAGTTATGTACTTTTGGTCAAATTGAACCAAATGACTAAATTGTGCCAAATGTATTCAGATTGGCATATTGAGCATGTAAATTAAGAAAGGAAGCTTATAATGAGCTGTTGTGGTAATTAAAATTCACGGGTAACCTTTCTAGTGACAGAAAGGTTGAGGTAGCCGAATAACTTTCTTTGTTTGACTATTTATTGTAAATGTGTGTTAGTATGCTATTTAGTACATAAAATAGTTTTAAACAAAGCATGATTTATAGCATTTTGTGAATGTGCATGAAATGACTTTTGATCGAATAAAATTATTGAAATGTGTGATTTTATATGGTATATATATATATGTATGAGAAAGAATATAAAGTGGTGATTGGGAACCTATGAATGGTTTGAAAAGCATGATTATAGGGGTGGGAGTTTGCTCGAGTGGAGAGGTGGTGATAAGACCATATGACATATTCTCCTTAGTACTTGACGAGGTGCGATATTAGAGAATTATACCTTCTTAGTACCTTTCGAGGTGCGGTGTTGGAGATAGTCTCCTTAGTGCCTATTGAGGTATGGTGTTAGAGATTCAGACTCCTTAGTGTCTGTGTGATACGATGTTAGAGTCAATGACACCCTATTGTGTATA